TTTTGCTTTTCTGGGAAAACCCCCAATGGCCGGCATGCTCTAATTAAGTGCATTTACTCTAATGAGCAAAAATGGCAGCAGCAGGAGCAGGAGCATGAGCAGCACCAGGAATAGGACCAGAAGTAGCTTCAGCTTTAGATGCAGTTTTGCAAAAAGCTGTCACAGCTCCGTGGACGGGGCAAACCGTGCGTGAAAACTGCCCTCCAGCTGGCGATGGGGGGAAAACTTTTGTGGTCTCTACTTGGCTCCTCGAGGTCGACCTCATTTAAGGGCTGGTTGGTTGGTCCTTTTAAGCATTCTCCTGCTGAAGATCCAGCAAACCCCCCATGCAGCCTCTCGACATTTTCAGGCATTTGTCTATGCAAAATTTTGCGACGCTCATTAGTGCAATTTGCATGCATAACGGCAAATATGGCCAAAAGCAGACAAATGAAGCCTCCGGCATGTCCAGTTATCCGTCTATATATCTGGCATAACCATCTATTATATTTGAAATAAATACCCAACAGCATCTACACTGGGAGACTTTTAAAGCGTCTTAATTATAAGCAATATATTTGCAATTATTGAGCTTAGAAAGATATATTTCAGAGGTATTAAATATGCATAATTTGGGTCTTATCTAATTTATACATTTAAGAGTTTATTATGCTGTGATTTTCTTACTGAAAAATACATATTTTTATGATGCAAATATATATAATTTTCAACTCCATACTTCCTTTATTTTTAAGATATTTCTTCATATATTCAAAGCTTATTCTTCCTGTGTAAATATCCGAAAGCATTTGAGGATAAGAGTGCCTCTGTCTATTCCTACATTCATCAAATTCAGAGAACTAGCAGAGGCATTCCCTCCGTTCATTGTCGAATATGTAGACTAGAATTTTTGTATTTGCCAAGCCTCGTGTGTTGTTCTTCCGACTGAAAGCGAGGATGCCCCATGCCCGATTCAGATTCGGATTCAGATACAGATACAGATTCAGCGACACTAAGTAAACATCAGCGCAGCTGTGCCAAAGGATAACACAGAACTCGACTGGAGGCTCTGAAAATATGCAAATGTCAGCCAACGGCCCTCTATATCCTCTATATCACTATACCCAACTCCTGGCCATTCCAATTGCCATCACATCCAGATAAAACACAAAACAATCCGAATTAGTAGCAAGCAAAACAAGGCAACGAAAAAGAGAAAAAAAAGGATTTTGCTGTGTGCTAGGAAGCAGCACTTTTGCCGAAAACCAAATTCATTTTCAATTAAGAATTTTTCAGCATATCGACAGAAAATGTCCTGGGCCTAATGCTCGCAATGGAAAAACATTTGAAATGCTAACTAAATTACGCAAAACTTTGCACACATGTCTGTGCATATTTAGATTTTTGCGAAATTTACAGTGCCACCGCCAGTGCCACACTGCCACTCGCAGGACAGGCCATATGGGTGTCAGAATGTGGTCAAAATGCCAATTGCAAAACAATTGCATTTTGGTTACTTTGCTGTTGAATCCGGAATTTCGATGGCAGCCAACTAACAAACACTGCGACGGTTTCCGTTGACACCAGCTAAGGATATAGAGAGAGATATTGGGGAAGCACTGCCCAAAAATTAAGTTAATTTAATAAGAAATAAATATACTACAAATAAAAGCTACATTTGTAAGATAATAAAAAGGTTTGTGATATTATATATTTTCTATAAATTTGAGAGGTATTACTCCCATTTTATAGCTTAATGTGCGACTTGTTTCTCGTAAAAGGTTCAATATATTTTCCCTGGTGCATTCATATTCCCGTCTAAATGACAATTAAACTCTGGATTTTAAGTTAAAAGCAAAATATTGTAGCAGGCACAGAGAGTCCTCCCTCGATTTCCCTAGCTCCCAGTCTCTCTCTTTCTCTATCTGCCCTTGTGGCGTGAAATTTCAACTGGATTTTCTTTTGCTGTCCAATGCAATTCTAAAAATTGTTAGACGACAACCAGTTCCGTCATATTCACACACAGTCGAGCTATATATATAAATGTATATGTGTGTGGCCCAAACAAAAACCCAAAAAGCAATTAAATTGTACACTCGGCAATGGTAGCAGGCAAAAGCCAAGCAAATCAACAACAACTATTACCAAACCGTCGACAAAAGACACCAAAGGCATCATGCAACAATATTATAACATTTGCAACACCAAAAAATACATCAACTAGACATACACATATGTATATGTATATGCAAAATGCAAAAGTTTTTTATTTGGAACGTGAGTGTGTGTGACAGCCCGACATGCAAATACGTTTAATTTCGAAAACTAAACTAATAAAAGCTTTGCTGCTAAAATGGCTCTGCTGCAGTTGAAATTCCTTTTTCCTTTTTTTTCTTTTTTGTCTGTTATATTTTTGTATGGTAAAAAACATAAACAAATGACCAATCGAAATGAATTTAGAGAAAAACTAATGCCACTAATGCTTATGGTCCCCAGATGGTAAAGAAAATAACTTGATTTCTTTTTCATTGCTTCAATTAACTCTATACTACTATAAACACTACAAAATATATCTCTATAAAGAATATATAAATCCTTAATTTATTAAAAATTATCATTTTACAATCTCTTTATTTAAAGATAAAACAAGAATGGAAACTAACTTCGGGCAACCTATGTTTATATACAATTATAGTTAGATATTAAATAATAGGATCTAATCGGAAATAGATCATAATTAAACTTAAAATAGTTGTGTGGTTTGAATCGTTTGAATCAATTTCTTCCACTAATCAAAGTTGTTAAAAATCTTATAACTTAGCCAAAAATGAATTAATTTTCATTCGGAAAGAATTCTTATGTTAGTTTTTATTGAGGTAATAAACTGCATACTCAATTTAAAATTTTATAAAATTCAAAGTCTTTACTACTATTAAGAGTGAATGAAACGAAAAGGCAATTTATAGAGCCTCCTCCAGCAAGTGACTGCGATGAGTTTGCAATAGGAAAATGTTGCGAAAATTGCCACCCAGTGATGCGCCGAATATTTCAATAGAGAATGATGAATATCTCACTGGGCGGAGTTGCTTCGTAAACTACATGCGAAATGTTTCCGTAAGCGCCAAAACGGACGTGATCCGGACAGTTCTTGAGCGGAACTGCTCGACAACAATACACACGGGTCAAATGAACACACACACAGATACACAGCACGTACACTATATGCAAAAATACACGGAAAAAAAAGGAGGTATTGATTGATGCACATATGTACAGGGTTGCCCACATTCTATTGTTCTGAGGAATATTACAAAATAAATATGCAAGAACGAAAGATCCTTGATTTTGACTAAAATATTCCTTAGTATTTTGAAAAATGGAACTATCTTTACATATACTTCTTAATCCTTATAAAAATTAAGGCTAGCCAAATGTTATTTAATCAAGGTAAAGTTATAAAAATCTTATTTAATCAGGGAAAATTTCTTAAATGTAAGATACAGAACACTGAAATTTTAAATATACTTTTTAATTCTTATATAAATTAAAGGTTAGCAAATCTTTTTTGATCAATGAAAACATGCAATCATACATTAAGAATATTAATTAAGAAATTGCTTAAAACCTTAATACATTTTCATAAATACATATTTTCGAAGGCAGCTTTTTATTTTAGTGCATTTATAGAATCTCTCTATCTGGCAGTTAAAAACGGCAACAAAAGGAATCGCACATTTCAACGTTTTGAATTTGTAAAAGGATATTTTTCACATTATAATAAGAAATGAGGTTGAAGACGCGCCTCGCATGTTACGCTGCGGAAAACCCCCTTCTGTATCTCTTTCTCTCTCCTCTATCTCTATTTCTGTATCTTTCTATCTATTTTCCGGCTTCCTTTAAAATGCAGAACAGCTGAAAAATCATATAAACACAAATAATAAAATCGACAATTTGGCAAGAGCCACATACATAAATATGTCTGGTTGTGCGTGTGTGCTTGCAATGAGCACATAACCGCAAATGTACTGGCAACAAAACGTGCCGCGATTTCACAAAAAGACCAATGGGAATCCTCAGAGGAAAATGGGTTAAATTTTCCACTCACACAAAGAAACTCCAAGCGTAATCGACTCGACGACGCCGCTGTCACGGCCCCGTTCCCATTGGCCAGTGAAAATTCTTCTCGAAGTGCCAAAACCCTCAACGCATTGAATTCAAACTTTATTGGGAGTTAAATTTTCTTTTTTTCTTTTCTTAGAAAAGTACTGTTTTAATAGATTTAACATTTGAATGAAAATCGATAAGGTATTTATGTAAGAATGATTACACTTTGGGTAACCCAAATGGAGGTATAATGAATGATTTATGATAAAACAAGAAACCCAACCAACTTATAGATCCTTGCATTTTGCATTTGAATTAAAGAATCGAATGGAAAATCAAACAATTTTAAGCTTCAAATATGCGCAATTTTGGCAACGATATTTAGAAATATTTTTATATGACTATTTATTCTACAAATCAATGTTTTAAAAAACTCATAACTAAGCCAAAAAAGCATTAATTTTAATGCGAAAAGCTTTTCTGTACTAGTTTTTCCAGGCTTAACAAACATGCATACGAAGTTTGAAATTTTTAAAAATTAAATTTTTGGTCAAATTTTAACAATTTTAACAACAACAATTTAAAAAAAAATTTCAAAAATTTATGTTTTGAACGGACATAGCTAAATCGATACAGTTTTTGATGCAAATCAAGAATATATATGATTTATAGGGCTTCTGACTGAAATTATAATACCCTGCAAGGGTATACACAGAAAATAAATCTTTAAAATATTACGAGATAAAAGACATATATAAATTTACATTAAACCTTCATTATTTATTCCTAACCTTTATTTTTATTTATACATTTCCCTTTGTAAGTTACTGTAAAGAAATCAAATGAAACGAATTAATTTTTCAGTTGATTTCAAAGTACGTTAAATCGTAATTATGATGGTCCAGTCTTTCTTAACAATGCTAACTAACTGGTTGCTCTTCGCCTCGCTATTCCTGCTGACCTCATCTGGAATAGATGCAGAAGCCTCCGCCTTAATGATCCAGCCGAGGATCTATGGAGGTCAGAAGACAAGCAACTCTGATATTGGTGGTTTTGGTGTCCAGATCTTCTACAAAAACAAACTCGTCTGCACTGGAGTCTTAATCAGTTCGCGACACCTCATCACAGCGGCACACTGCTTCGAGAATATGGCCCAATCTGACTTCCATGTGGTGGCCGGAACTTCACTCGAAGCCGTGGCCTTAACCCGATCCGAAAAGAAGAACGGATTGGTGGAGGTGCGACTTCATCCAAAGTTCGATAAGCTAAAGTTTATAGCGGACATAGCTGTGGTCAAGACGCAGTATCCGCTAAAAGGTCGGACCATCGGCTATGCCAAGCTCTGCAAATATCCGCTGTATAACGGGGACAGAGTCACTGTGGCCGGGTGGGGCACCGATGGAACAAGAAGGAGCTCCGACGAACGACAATACCTGCAAACCATGCAAAGTTCCATTGTGGGGCATAAACAGTGCGAGAAGAAACTAGGACGTAAGATGCCTCCGAATATCCTGTGCGCAGGAGAATATAACCATCAGACCCTGTGCACCGGCGATTCCGGAGGACCTCTCATCTGGCAGGATGAGGTGTGCGGCATTAGCACATGGACATGGAAATGCGGTGACAATGAGAAGCCCGATGTCTTTATGAGTGTTCGCCACTACGCCAAGTTTATTACAAGCACCATCAATGAAATGGGCTATTAAAAGGTTTAAACAATTTCTGTATTTCCCATGATGATGGGAACGTAAAATAAAAATAAATCTTTATATTTAAATACTATTATTATTATTAATCTATCGCTATGTATGTTTTTCCAATCTCCTTACATGTAGAATCAATTGCATTCTACAGCTTGCTCTTCTGCTGTAGAATGTAGAAAGTACACCTCAGACTCACGTGCTCTGAATTCTTTTCCTCTCTTTTGTTTCACTCTCTTTCGTTGGGGCTGCTCTCTTTCAAGTTATTTTCCCCCACTATCTCTCTTGGGCAGCCAAGCGTAAGGTGAGAGCGAAAACTGCAGCGTTGGCGCCTCTTAACAGCACCGGCAAGCGTCAGAAGAAAGGAAAATAAAGAACGAAGAATTAGGAAAACAGAAGAGACAACAATAACACGCGGCCAGGGAAAATATATGTATGTAGTAGCGTAGTGTGTGACCCAAAAGTCTCACCTCACTCTCAATGGTTGCCGGCAGCATTTTTATAGTACAACTATTGCAAGCCCCCACCACCTTCGTTCTCTTCCAAACACACTTAGCTCTTCATTCTTCACTTGAGGCTCTCTGCACTCAAAGAATAATAATATTTTCACATATGTCTGAAAATATTTAATATTAATATAGTCTAGGGATAATTTTTTTTTAATGTTTATAAACTGTTTGTAATAAAGTTAAATAAGACATTTTCCTTACTTAATCTACATACCTTTAAGAATTTCACAATACCTTTAAGAATTTCACTATCGATTTCTTGCCTTTAACTTTTAAACGTTTCCAAGAGTCTATTTAGTTGTTGTTTATAATTAATATATGTTACATTTTTAATCTATATACATATTTACTATTTGTCCGATCTCCATTTCTCTGAGTGGGGGAATCTAATGCCCGCCCCCTTTTGTCATTAGAGGCACTAATGCCACAACGGGTCGCTCGCCGGGCACTACTCAGTTCACATTGGATTCCCGAAGCGAACGCGCGTCGATCGTTCCGTTTCTGTTTCAGTTTTGCTCCGCTCCCGAGGCTCTCTTCTAACTCTTCCCCTAGATCTGATTCAATTCGAAATCAGAGTGTGTGCGTGTGTGTGTTAATATAGTGTCCGAAAAATTGCTGATAGTGCGTACGTGGGTCGTTGCAGGCAATTGAATTTAATTCCAAACCCCATTCCGGTGTCTCAAATATGAGGGAAATCGTACATCTGCAGGCGGGCCAGTGTGGCAACCAGATCGGTTCAAAGGTGCGTATAATTAATATTCACTAAGTGCCCGCATCGCACACCTTTGCTCCATTTTCTTGTTAATTTTTTCGCTATCCTAACCTCACATGTTTAATTATAAAACATAGTGAGAACGAGCAGTGACTATAAATTACGCTCTCTTTCTCCTCTCTCTCTCTCTCTCTCTCTCTCGCGGTGTCTTTATCGCTTTGCGCCTCTCCGCTCTTAATGTGTTTTCCTCTTCGGTCAATTAAAATGGGGGGCGGTGGTGGGGCTGGGTAGTGATTATGCCGTTAGTTTGGGAAACTATAGAACTGCAAAAAAAAATATTAAAGAAACCTGACGAGCTTCGCCGGTTCCCTGTATCTTATCGCTTCCAAGATACGAATATCAGCTCGGTCGGAATATCTCATTCAAATTACCTTGGACTCGGAGCATATCACAGCCAATTAAGGCCTGAAAGTCACTTGGAAACCCAGTCAAGCCACCTTGGTCAGGTGTAAACAATTAGCTTAGCGTTTAGTTAAGAGCTTGTGAACGGGTTGCTATTGCAAATAACACTGCGGTATTTTTCATTTAAAATTCTTTAAAAGGTTTATTGGTTTTAAGTATTAACAAATTAGAGTTAATTTAGAATGACGAAAACGAAACTAAACTATAAATATACAGTTATTCTGCACATAAGCTATTATATATACTCTTACAGTTTTCAATTGAATTTTAGGATTAAATCAGAAATCAATTATAAATAACTTTAAAATATTTAAATTCTTTAAATCAATATTTAGCAATATTTTTATACGACAATCTTATCGATATATTAATAATTTAAAAAACTCATAACTAAGCCAAAAAAGTATTAATTTTATTTTAGAAAGATTTTCTATGTTAGTTTTTATGAGGTTAATAAATCGGAATACTCAATTTACAATTTAAAAAATTTAGAATTTCCCAATTTTTAACAATTTTAACAATGTAATAAAAAAATTGAAAGTTTTGTTTTTTTTTTGCCGAAGATAGCTAGAAAGATTCGCCAGTTTATGCTAACCAAGACTTTATATGATTTATAGGGTCGGATATTCGTCGGATATCGGTCGGATACTCCTTCATAATTATAGTACCCTTACTAGGGTATAAGAACTTTAATTCATATCAAACCTACTTTTTTTCCGGTGCACCTATGTAGATCTTGAACCGTTTTCAGAAATCCAATCCACAAAGCCAAGTATTTTTGGCGGGAAGTTGTGGAAAACTGTACTGGAATGTATTTCGAAACTAGCTCGAAGGTCTCTTTGAAGCTTCCGTCTTCCGAACGTTTTTATTGTTTTCCCCTAACTGGTTTCGAATACTCGTACTTCTCATGGGCCCTTAATGTTTTATGTTTTTGCCCTCGTACAGTTGACTGATCTTACAGCGATCTAGAAACCTGTCCGACCGACTTATAGAAGTCTTCGTTGGTATTTGTAATTACTTCGGGCAAAGCTTGTAAATAATATCTATACTGCACATACATAGCTAGGAGGAGGAGCACATGACTCACAGCTGACTAAGACAAACTGCCGGGCTTATGTTTGTATTTCCCGCTATCGGAGCAACTTGAGGGGGTCTAATCAGTGAACTTGTTTACAAAACTTCAAACATAAGTACCTGACAGCAAGAGAACTGATATGGCCACCACCGAAAATAGCAATTACATACTGCTCTGAACTATTTAAAGTACATAGCTTTTTGAATATACTTGAACAGGGCGGGAAAGCAAGCATGTTTGCTGGCAATTAGAAAAGCCGGAATGCAAACATTGCTGTAAATCCGCTCTGGCTGCCCATTCTAAGCCAATTCAGCGCATTAACATTAACTCGCACAATTTGGCGCGTCATGAAAAGCCAGAAACATCAACAACATAATCATCAACAGTAGCAACAAAAAGTCGTTGACGTTTGACACAGATTTTCCTTCGTTTTTTTTACTGTCTTTTTCCCTGCGTTTCCCAGAGCAGTTTTCTCCATTCTCCATTCTCTTTTCGCCGTTTTACACGCTTTTCCACTCGACTTTTATGTAAACACATCTGCACATATTTTAAAGCACATTTTCGCGTGTTTTTCACCAGCGCCTTTTGAGTTAATTAGAACGCACTTTTCGGGAATATAGCCATGGCCAATCCCATCAGATTTTATACGCCCATTAACGCCCCCGAACCGGGGCATTGTTACATCTATATTTTGTCGCCATTGTTGCGACCCTTTGTGTATCTAAAAAAATGTATATATAAATAAAATAACATACGATTATTTATGCAATTTGCCGCTTATCGAATCTTTATCGATTGCATAAAACTTGTTTGTTGGTGCATTAAATTTTGAAATAATAATAGCGAACATATTTTGTTGCCTGTCCTATTCATACTCTTTTTTTATAGAACACGATTTTGTGCCTTAATTGAATGTCCTTTTCTGATTAATTGGCTGTCGGTATGAATTATTGCCGCAGCTACAGAATAAACAAATAATAAATATGCAAAACTGCCTACGTTGTAGTAAAATGTGAGCACAATAGCGTAAATGGCGTATGGCGATTTTTAAATAAATTTTCAAAACTAATTGCTCTGCTGATAAAGGCGAATAGGCAAATATGAACAGCATAACAAAAAAAATCAGAACAGATTGATTACACATTAAAAGCAGAGCTTATTCACACATGAATGGCCCTCGAATGAAAAGCATTGTAATTATAAAAACAGAGCTTTAAATTTAGCCATGGAAAATCCATTGCAAAACATAATGTTATCATTAAATTATGCATAATGCAGCATACTGTTAACCAATTTCTTAAACTTGGCTCTTTGGGTGCGTTGACGTTTGATTTTAATTTTTGTAAGACATCCGCAAAAAGGCGTCTTCCGGCTTGCTTTTTGCCAACACAACACAACACCCGAAATTGATCACATATGTGTGGCACAGACAGGCAACGGCATCTATCCAAGGATATTTTGGCCTGCAGCGTGAGTTCGTTTTCTTTTTTCATTATTTACATAAACCTAATTTTACCTAAATCATTTTGTGAACAATAACAAGGAAAATCTATTTACGGCATGGCATAAAGACGGAGGAAAAGCGTCGGGGAAAGTGCGGATGAAATTTATAGACGAGTGTAGCGTGGAAAAGAAAGGCGAAGACGGGGAGAGCAGAGAGCAGAGAGTCCTGGGAAAGCCAAGCTACAGACAATAAAATTAAAGAGTGGAATAAGCCAGGCCAACGTGGCTGCAGCGACTCCTTTGAGCCCTGTGTGCTTCGATATTTCGCCTCAGGATGCATTTGCTTAGCACATAATGGCGGCAGGGCATCATCGTAGCAGCGCCAAAATAATGCACAAAATTGAATTATCGATGGCATCTATTGCAGACCTAATATCTTTACGGTTACCCGATATTGAGCGGACAACTGGGGAAATCCATGGATTACCTTACGGCACATCATGGCTGATATGCAAATGCAATTTTCCAGGTGGCACCGCATACACGGATGCGGATGGGTGGAGTTTGAAGAAAAACAAGAAACTGATAACTTAGTTGGCATCTTTATTTCAACGATGCAAGAAATTCAATTGTGGCATACAGTTGAAAAGGGAATTTTTGCGATTATTTGGAATTTATACATTGATATATAAATTTTTGGTTACCTACCTAAACGAAGCAAGAGGGGCCAAAGGGGGGCATATCCCATTTTTTCGCTGGCGAAATATTTTTCAATTTACATAAAAATGCGTTTATGCATACCAAATGAGCCGCACACACACACAAACACAAGCTCTTTGCAGCTGCTAGCTCCCAGCAACCTTGCGCCTAGCTGTATGCAATAGAAAATAGGGGAAGGCGATGGAGCTAGAGATAACCCGCGGTCCGGAGGAAAGCCTGGCAGGTGGAAGGGCACTGCCAGCGCTCTGCTGCACAAACTGATTATAAATAAACAAAAGGGAATTTTTATAAATATTTTCCACACTCATACCCTCATCTCGCACACACACAGGGCCTTCTCCACTGCTCCCTGGCTTGATGGAATATAAAAATTACTTATTTATGTATATATTTTTGCTCCGTTACGCTTTGCTTTGAACATGTGCACACAAATTGATGAACAAAAGGGGAAATCACAAAAAAAGAAAAAATGAAAGAAAACTGCGCATAAATATTAGGGAAAACGTGCAGAGAAAATACCACACAGCGATAAAGACATAACACCATCGGTGCCATATTGTCATCTCATCAACAGTTTCTTGTTTTTCTTGTTGCTCTCAAAAGAAACCTAATGATATGGGGTTCAGACAATATACAAATATACAATGAATCAATAAATATACATGTCTATTTTTATACCCTTAAAGGGTATTATAATTTTAGTTAGAAGCTTGAAAAGCAGTGAAGGAGTCATTTCCGAACCTATAAATCATATATATTCTTAATCAGGATTAACAGCCGAGTTGACCTAGCTATGTCCGGTCAAAAAATAAATTTTTGAAATTTTTGTCAAAGTTTTATAAGGGGTTAAATCGTTAAAATTGTCAAAAAAAGGCAAAACAAAAAAATTGAATTTTTTTAAATTGTAAATTAAGTATGTAGATTTATTAACCTGACAAAAACTAGCATTTAACAGCATTCCGAATTAAATTTAATGCATTTTTGATTTAGTTGTGAGTTTTGAAATCTCTGATTTGTGAAAGATATTGTTAATTTAAAATATCCAACAAATTGATTCAATGAATACAAATATTTTTATCTTAGTTATGCTTGATTTCCGATTCGATTCCTATAATTCAATTGAAAACTGCAAAGTATATAAACTTTGGCTTCCCGAAGTCAGATTCCTTGCTTGTTGTGAATAATTTAAATTAAATGTAAAATTTTAAGATTATTTAAGCAGCCTTTACTTTAAGACTGCATCTAAACCCCAGCTTATGGCTTATGTTCTTCTTAGTTTTCTTATTGACTTTCTCAAGACTATAAAGCTGATTTTAAAGCTATATAATTA